TTGTCACCTTACACACGTAAAACTCACATCAACAGTTAAGTTAAAAAGCGTGGGTTTTTAAATTTTTTGTTCTTCCAAGTAATAATAAAATTGGAAAAAAAGTATTTTAGTCATTATCTAGTAAACTAAACTAGTTTCCATATCATCTACGCTACTGCGTTTTAAAAGATGCATGAATATATTTTGTAAACCACTATATGTATGCGTGACATATCTGGACTCATCATGTGCCAAAGGCACTCGTTAACGGGATTGTCTGTTCGGATAAACCTGGCTGCTAGATGTCGTCTTCTAACAATGAATTCTAAAGAATAGAATTCGGAATTTTACCGGGGCATAATGGTGATATGGCCGTTACACTTCATGGGGTGGTCCACGCAATTGTTTCAGGTCATAACTCCGTTATGAATGCATTTAAGAAAAAAGGCATACAGATGTAGGGCCTTAGATTTGCTCTTCGAGTCATTTACCTTTCTCCTTTGGCATTTTTTCATAAATGCATTCATAACGGAATTATGACGTGAAACAATTATGTGGACCACCCTGTATACTCTACAGTGTAGAGTCTATTACCTAATCCAGTACTACACAGATCAAATGCATCCCCAAAGTGGGATGCAGGATCTCGGTAGGAAGAGTTTATTTTCCCAGGATGGGCGGTGATCTTTGAGATTTCGAAAAAAGACATAACGTCTATCATATCATATAGATGAACCCTAACTCGAAGCGCGCCTACCCTTAAATTCTTTATTAGATATAATCGTAGTATATGTTGTCAAATCCTATACATGTGTTTACTTGTTGAGAGTTAGCAGATGGCTACCGTCACGAGCCGTACGCGTTGCCTGTTTTTAAGCCCGCATTTATCGTTGTTTCAAGGCCTGTTGACTTTGGTTTTGCTTACGCCAACTGAGACAATACTTTTTCTTGAAAGCTGACACATTATATTTATTTGATTCGTATACACTTCAGGATAAAAAGATAGCACACTTTAAAATTAATAAAAATAATGATAATAGCAAAATTTAAAAAAAACATGTTGATCATTGTTTAGTATACTAGTCCCTCCATCATCTAAAAAAAATTCAAGTCACTTAGTCCAGTTTTAAAAAAGTTATATTTTAAAAGGTGTACGAACACTTTTGTGAGCCATTGTATACACAGGGTGTTAAAAAGAAAGTAGTCCAAGACATTAAAGATTTATAGTACTCGCCGAGGGGAGTAAAAAATGTCCAATCGTGATAATATTATTAGATTAGCATCAACGAAAGTTCTTTGATAAATGTAGCACTAACCTTCTTCGTCACAGTAAACATTCCATGTGTTTTCAAAGTTCATATGTACGGAGCATTGATCCTAAATCTGGTATTGTTTCACACTTATTTTCTGATTTTTCTCGTCGTTCTTCTATATTAATGAATTTAAAGCAGGAGATAGAGGAGGACATACAACTGGACTTCTTCGTTCTATTCATCAAAGTAGATTTGTACTAAATTTGCATTTATGAAAGAATACTTGTTGATGCCTAGTGTAATAATCGTGTGTTGACAACCTTGGACGTACTTCTGAATAAATTTCTCTACTAACATTCAATGCGTTGCCTCGCTGAGAAACTCACTCATGTTATCGTATATCTTTAGATACTAGAAGACAATCTTCTGTCGAAAGGATTGACTTTTGGACCTATGTTGATTAGGTATTTTTTACTCCTTTCGGTAAATACTATAACTTCTTAAAGTCTCAAATCACATTTTTTAAACACACTATACGTATAAGTTCTAACTTGAGTGGAGATGGCTCAGGAATTGTAAGCATTAGTATGGTAAGGACGGAGTTTTAAATATGTCATGGCGAGGCAAAGATTCAGATATGATGCGGCAAGGACAGAGGTCGAAGATGAGGATGAGTCAAGGATAAAATCACGTTTTGTAGAAGATTTTGAGATGTTCAATAAGAGAACAATGGAATGACATTGATGTACAATATAACTTTGAAAATAATAAATAATGTAACAATAACAAGTAATAGTAATGAGTAATGAAAGAATAAATCTAATTAGAACTAAAGTAGTGGAGTAGGATGTAGCACTATCACTGTAAAGCCTATCAGTAGCGGGTACATGTATAAGACCAATTGAAACACGGTATAATATTTTTAAAACTAGACTAAATGGCTTAATTTTTTTAGATGATAGAAGAACTAGTCTACTAGACAATGACTCTAATACTTTTTTTAAATGCTTCTATTACTTGGAATGACAAAAAATATAAAAAACTCGTTTTTTATCTTTTTTATCTGAGCCTATAACGAAAATTTAAAAATTGCATTTTGTAGATCTCGTTAAGTTAATATATGCATGCTGAAAATACCATCGAAATCGGTAAGCACAAAGCCAAGTTACAAATATCAAAAGATTTTGGAAACTGCGTCAAGATCCGGGACAAAACTGCGATTTTTGCGATCCTTAATTGTTTTCAGCTCCTGTCAAGATCTACCAATTTTAATGAAATTGTATTATTATTATTATTTGCATATAAGTTACCGCGATCTGTGAAAGACATTCTTTAAATTTTCATTATAAGCTTAGATAAAAAAAAGTTACAAAAACCAGAGTTTTTTATTCTTTTTGTCATTCCAGGTAATAGCCAAACTTTAAACAAAGTATTAGTGTCATTGTCCAATAGACTGATCCCTCTATCATCTAAAAAAATTTCAAGTCATTTAATCTAGTTTTAAAAAAGTTATACCGTTTTGTCAAGTGGTTTTAAATATATGTCCGTTTCTGTAAATTTATTAACGTTGAAAATACTCGTCTGCAAAACTATTACTATATACCATATCTAATTTTTTAATTATTAGAAATAATAGCTCAACTGCTCGTAAAAATAATTACACTTTAAATTATATTTCTCTTGTACATGTTTCATAAATACTAATTCCATCATTTAAAGGTCCACGCCGAATACACTTATTGTCTCCATATAATATTTAGCACTCGTAGTTGAAATTAAATATACAAGATATGGTAAGGAAGCTGTGGAGCCCTCCAAAGCTGAGACAGAAAATTCCATAAGATCCAGTGCCTGTATGTATCATAAGTCTGTCCACGTGCTCACAAACAGCTAAAGTTATTCTACAAACGCAATATATGTATTGCATTAAATATATGCATTAAAGTATATGCATTAAATACGTGATTAATGATGAAAGCTACCGTGCATTATTTACGTTTGCACTCCAATACCTAATCGAAAATTACTAGATCAATTGCAATTTGTTCCACTGTTTAAAAGATCACTTAAAATCCATGAATTACTTAAAGTAAAGGAGAAAAATACTTGGCCTAATCACAGTTAATGAGCAAATTAATTACATTGTAACTGATACATTAAAACCTGATGCACTTGTTAACATAATAGCACGTCGTACTAAGTACGATATGATCAATCGAGAGAATATAAACACGTGTTAGAACGTGTATGTATATGATAACCATCGTATCGTATTATATGCATGTCATTTCAAATTTCATATCGTGCATATTTAATTTTTCAAATTCCTTTGAATTTTTCATGTTATATCGTCATAAACTAATTGCGCGACATCTCCATCTATGGCAAATATAAAACACTTCCGCGTAAACTACCCATCGATTATGTTAATCGATTCATTCTAGTGATTTTTGCATTGTAACCTTTTATTTTATTTAAGCCAGTTATTTATAACTAAAAATTAGACATTGTCCCGGAAATCTGATGATATTTCTGGATTTTTTCACAATCTTCAAGAAACAAAGACGAAGGCAGATTTTTCAACTTAACTGCTATAGAACGTCTGTATGGTAATTGAAGATAGCTTCTTATCTCGCCTGAAATTATGCCTTTTTTCAATTAATTTCTTCAATCTAACTTTTAAGAAAATAATTATTTCATTTTAATTCAACGATGAGACAATGAAATTTAATTTTTTTATAATTTTTTATATAAGTCATATAATTTTTATATGCCACATTCTGTTGGATTTTGATTAGAGAGAAGACTCTAAACTTTATACGCAGAAAAGTATAATTTCGTATTTACTAAAACTGTACAAATATGTATTGCTACCGAAAAACAGGGACGAAACAGAACAGTGTACATAGAAAGCGTTCTTATACACACACTTACATAAATTTTTGGATTCATTTGGGTATATTGACGCAAATAGTCTTAATATACATTACATATTCCAGCATATTCTACCAAAATCGAAGAGAATGGTTTTTTCACGATTTTCTTGATTTTACGCTAAGAAATGTATTTTTCCGATTTACCAGAAGATCTTTAGACGAGTGGCTGATGTAACGGCAAAGCTAGCCATGTTTGTTATTATTGTCTCCTTCAAACCATAGAACTTAGTATGTAGTACCTAGAATCCTACAAACAGATGCCATAATTTCAGTCTTCTACCGTCCTGCAAGTAGTACGCAGTAACAGGCAAGTGAAACCTTAAATAATTAATATTTTGTATAATAGAGTCAATGTTTTGCAGCGAATGGATAATTGAAGTGATCATTGGAGCATTGTTTTTCGATTTTTATTAATCACGGCGCAGACTAAATCGTATTTTTCGAGATTTTTCAATTTTTAAAAATCATCGCGGTGGTGATTGCAAATTCCAACGAATCCGGTCTCTTTTCTCATGTTTTCCAATAAATTCTTCAGTCTTCTTTTCAGAAAATAATGATAACCTTATTACTGAACGACAAGACAATAATTTTTTAATTTTTTTTTAATTGTTTAAATAAATTATATTTTCTTTGCTCTTTTCATGCTTTCTCGCGATGTATCTCGTTATTTTCGTAAATATTTCGCGTTTTCATACTTAAAAATGTATTTTTTCTACTGTTTTTAATGTTTCCTAATTTTTTTATATTTTCAGATAATGCTAGAACGATTGGCTGATGTCACAGAGGCTGGCGATTTTAGTGTCATCTGGTCTTCTTCAAACAAAAGAAGCTTCGACTATACGGCATGGTGTCGCGCTGTGGTATCCGCTGTGAACTTGTCAGCATCAACAAGTGAGTGTTGTCTTGAATTTTAAAATTTTTATAGTCATTTTCATGTCATCCCGCAAATGCTGCAGAAATCAACGATCGAAACATTGTCTTCCATATTTTAATATTTGCGATGCGGTATATATTGTATTTTATTATATTATTTCTCTTCAATATAATATTCGGTCGATAGTCTTTAAAATTAGTTACAACAATTATATAACTTTTCAGCAACGGTTTTTGTAAATTCAGTATTTCGTAAATTTCAGTTTTTGCTTTCATTCACTGTGTTTCGTTGGACTTTATTGGCATATGCATTTTCTTTTTCGGAATTATATTTTCTTAATTTTTTTTACCAGCTTGAGCCATCTTGCCTTCGTGTAGTATAGCGAATTACCATTTGGGAAGCTGCTAGTTTAGATCTTATTGATACTTCTTGCACGGGTCAATAATGGAGCAGTGCTGTAGTTTCTTGAATTCTTTAAACAATTAGATTCATTGTTCAAACACGGGTGATCCAGGGAATGGTATGCGGAACATCATTTTTTATTTTTTATTATTTTCGATACAGATTCCATCACAATTTAAAATTTTTTAAATGTTTATAACAATTCTGACATACTTTCAAAGTACATGTTTTACAATATCTTCAATTTTATAGGAACCTAAATTTATAAAATTTCTTTCATAATATTTTTCAATTAAATTAATTTTAATAACTTAACCGTTTTCGTTTTTATTTATGAATTAAATAAATGATAAATATTAAAACTAAAATAAATTTTGTGGACGTCTCAGTAACGTACCAGCGGAAGAAGTCACCTTTCAAGCTGTTAATCTTCTCGAGAGCAAACTTCACTGGTACCATAAAACGGCCATTTTGCAACGCCCAACGAATCCTGTTAACATATGAATATTATACAATTCACAACTAATTTATTTAAGTTTCAGATATTCTAATCGTCTGTATTGTCATGTTTTAATTTATGTTTATTGAATTTACTAATTTTTCCTTTCTTCTGTTTCTTATTTGTAATGATTTATTATATTTTTTGGCTATAAACTGTATTTTGTTATATTTTTGTTGTTATTTCCTGTTAATTATGTTCTTCGCACTTTTTGTAGGGTCCTAGAAGATAATTTGACATAAATTCGCAGAAAAATTAAAGCCATCCGTATTAAACAATCATAATGCTTTAGAGGTAATTTAATTTCATTTTGACAATTTTTTGTATGCAGTTGTAAAATTAATTTTTGTAAAACATTCATTCTTTTAATTTATTTTAGATATTGGACGGAATTTCATAAATCACAGGCTTATACTTATCATATTTATCTCTTCGACGGAAAAAGATAATTTTTCCATTTATATTATTTTATAATTATTTTAATTATTTCATAATTTCCTGTCGATAAAATATTCTCATGTGATTTCAGGAATATTGGACTTGATGAAGGAAATTTGCATGAATTGTAAAGAATTAACATCACTACGACTGCAAGGATTCAAAGAGGTTAATTATTTCGTTAATTATTTTTCCAGTACTTGTTATATCTTAATCTAAATAACCATTCATTATTTCCAGTACAGTTGTTATTTAATTGTATGTAGATTTTAAAAATATAATGTTCAGACTGCATAAATATTTGCAGACAAAAAAGGATTCTACAGTTTTGGTCAGGATAATATAAATCATAGTTTTTTAATAACTTAAAACTATTTCCAAATCATATATAATGTATATTTTATAAGTTTAATAAGATTCAATACTAGTTATTACATTTTATATCCAAATCCAATACGTAAACTTACTACAGTGCACTTTAACCTATTCTTTTGCTCTGAATCTTTTGATTGTTTTATATAAATTTTGTACTAATTTCTATTACGATTCGTAGGTTGTGTGATGTGATTGACAATGGACAATTGACAAATGCACTTGCGACGTCAGGTTGCTGAACAGCTGAGTTGCTGAATTGCTGAGTTGCTGGTAGCTGGTGATAGGTGGCTGATATTTCAGTTAGTTCATTACGGGTGAGTTCGTTCCATTATTATAAACATTATATTTATTTATTTATTTAATAATATTAAAGTGAGATAACAAGATACTAACTTTGTACATGTAATTTTGCTTTTCAAGTATACCTCTGGTCATACGTGCATAACGGCACAAACGGTCTATGATATCAGATTACATGTTCAGGCACCAGGTGTCGCAATCGCTGTTTCGATCAGGATTTACAGTTACCTCTGTTCGATCGATAATTCTAACTACTCTCCTTAAATGTAAATCTACTTTTTAATATTTAGCTTGTGTTACATATGCTCGAAGCATCATGTTTCCTTAAATTTTGCTGACAATGAGTTTAATAACATAGTTAAGATGACACTGATTTGACAGCTTGCAGAACAGTAATCAATATGTGTTCATTTTACACGATATTTTTTGCTAATGAAATGGAACCAACCAATATGTTTACTTTTACTGTTAAATGTTCCGTTTTTGATTAAACTAATTCCAATTTAATTAATATCTCATTATCTATATATATATAGCAAGGTCTCCAGTACACCTTTTAAATATATAATATCAACTCTTCATAGCATTTCGCAGCATTCAAGTTGCATAGTTTCCGGGGCGTCATATAGCATTCTAATCAGTTTTATGTTATTTTGCTTTTTTATTAAGCCATGAAGGCTATCTTCAATTTTTTTAAATGGAGTAGTTGATATTTTTTCCAGAATTGGGATAAAGCATTCTACATAAAAAAATATTATATCAAATGAGATCTAAAGTACATTGTTACTGAGATATTAGCAAAATAAGTTTTATTTTAAACGTTGTTCGAACTTTTGCCCGTTACAATCAATATAATTACGTAATCTTATTGTTAGAAAGCGAGAAACATTTTCAAGAGTTTCTGTTGTTAACGCAGAACATACACGACTAATACGTTGTTGCATACATTGTTACCCATGTAACATGTAGCATTGTGCTTTCCAGTACTGATTGGTTGGTCGTAAACAAAATCGTCTGACTTCGTTATGTTAACTAATAAACATACTTTGCTTTCGCTAATATCTCAGTAACCATATATCTTAGACCTAATTTGGTGTAATACTTTTTTACGTAGAATTCAACGCTTTATACGAATATTCGGGAAGAAATATTAAATATTCCATTTTTAAAAATTGAGGATAACGTTCATATGTTGATAAAAAAGCAAAATAGCATAAAACTGATTAGAATGTNGATTTGACAGCTTGCAGAACAGTAATCAATATGTGTTCATTTTACACGATATTTTTTGCTAATGAAATGGAACCAACCAATATGTTTACTTTTACTGTTAAATGTTCCGTTTTTGATTAAACTAATTCCAATTTAATTAATATCTCATTATCTATATATATATAGCAAGGTCTCCAGTACACCTTTTAAATATATAATATCAACTCTTCATAGCATTTCGCAGCATTCAAGTTGCATAGTTTCCAGGGCGGCATATAGCATTCTAATCAGTTTTATGTTATTTTGCTTTTTTATTAAGCCATGAAGGCTATTTTCAATTTTTTTTAAATGGAGTAGTTGATATTTTTTTCAGAATTGGGATAAAGCATTCTACATAAAAAAATATTATATCAAATGAGATCTAAAGTACATTGTTACTGAGATATTAGCAAAATAAGTTTTATTTTAAACGTTGTTCGAACTTTTGCCCGTTACAATCAATATAATTACGTAATCTTATTGTTAGAAAGCGAGAAACATTTTCAAGAGTTTCTGTTGTTAACGCAGAACATACACGACTAATACGTTGTTGCATACATTGTTACCCATGTAACATGTAGCATTGTGCTTTCCAGTACTGATTGGTTGGTCGTAAACAAAATCGTCTGACTTCGTTATGTTAACTAATAAACATACTTTGCTTTCGCTAATATCTCAGTAACCATATATCTTAGACCTAATTTGGTGTAATACTTTTTTACGTAGAATTCAACGCTTTATACGAATATTCGGGAAGAAATATTAAATATTCCATTTTTAAAAATTGAGGATAACGTTCATATGTTGATAAAAAAGCAAAATAGCATAAAACTGATTAGAATGTGATATGCCTCCCAGGAAGCCATGCAACTTCGATCTGAAACAGTTTTTCGTACAACAAATATTTTATGACTTATTTTCAGTCATCATGTTACGAGAATCATCCTGTGTAGAGTAGTGAAACCGGTTACTGTGGGCGACCAGTTGCTGTGCCTTTGGTTTATTTTCGAGCGTAGCTAACTTTATATTTATCTAACGAGATATATTCAATTTTTTTTATAAAAAAATGAAAAAAATGGAGAAATATGAAAATACAATGTCTTATTCCTTATATATAATGTTAATTATGCTCGAAAACAAACCAAACATATAGCAATAACCGATTCCATTGCCCTATCCTGCAATAAACATACCCCGAGGTGCACCTTTTTTAGAACTTAGATTTTTGGAGTATTTAAGTAATGCCTTCTTGATATATATATACCCTTTAACTATCTAAAAATTTTCTTTACATTTAATATATCTTGGATACTGGTTTTTCTATAGATCTGTTAAGATAATTTACTGCGAATGCAATGTCGGGGCTTTTAGTTGCTAACAATAAGTAGTGTAAGCTACCCATTAGTTCTTTGTAAGGAATTTTATCCATAGAATTAGTATAACTATCTTTTCAAATTGATTGGTTGGTGCAATATTTGCATTTTCCATTTCAAATTTCTTTAATACTCGGTTCTATTAATTTGATTGAAGTAACTCAGTTTTATTATATAATAGCAATATATATAATATAATATAATATAATATAATATATATATATATATATATAATAGCAATTATATAGTAGCAATGTGCGTAGAGTAGTAGTAGTGAAGGTGCTATTCTACGTGTTGAAGCTATTCTGTTGAAGTTATTGAAGTAAATTACGTTTTTCTTCTTCAGTCGTTTCGCTATGTTTATGAATTTTTCTGTTGGTATGCCGAAACATACCGCTCGATTTGAACGATTCGCGTTCAAAATGATACATGACTTGCTTTTTCTTGTGTGTACAAGTTTTCGCATACTTACATTGATTAGTGATGGACAAAAGTATATATACACTTGGTCCATCGAAATAAAAACAGTATATTTTTACTAACATTACATGAATTCATGTATATGTATGGCATTGTATGTTTTACATAAGCATAAATAATAATGTATACAATAAAAACTGAATAAAACTGCTTTGTAGTTGTTATGGGCAGTATTGTTTATCAGACTCTATGCAAGAGATCAGACGCTTGACTCTTTGCTATGTGGATCTAAGGACGAATCGCGATTAAGTGACTGACCGTCAAGTTTTCATTTCCGCGTTTGCCCTGGCAAAATTCCTAAACAAACCTGATTCGCTAACCCTCGCTATGGGTCTTTCCAATCAGAGCTGTTCGTCTTTACGTTTCACTGTTTTATTCACTGTCTTATTCTTATCTTACGCACTTATCATGTTTGCACGGAAAAAAAACATTCTCTTGTGCGTTCGACAACCGGACGCTGCATAGTAATAAAATAAAATTTATAGGATCCTAACAATTCGTAAAGACAAAAGTATTCTTAAAATCCTTATTAATAAATATTAATTATGTTAATGTTACAGTTAATACTTTCCCAAATAGCATAAAGACTAGCTCTTGTACGTCCCATGTACGTCCGTAAAGAAAATTTTGTATGTCAAGGAACAAAGGCACAATCACAAAAAGTAGTTGTTCTAGGATCGTCAAGAAGGAGTTTAGGACAGTATTTCTTCTTATCATTAGTTGGTAGATTGTTTGCTAGAAAGTATTTGCTAGCAGAGTTACTGGGAAGGGATGAGGTTGGAAAAGCGTAAAAAGTATCTAGCAGTTTACGATTTATTTAGTTCGCTTTCGAAACTGGATATTCACTCGCCACGAGAAGTATGTTGACAGTTGTTTAAATGTTTAAATTGGTTAGTCTAGCTAGTTTGTTAGAGAATGTGTAAACAGAATTCGTTTGGAATGATAAAAAGATTAAGAAATTATGCTTTTCAAAGCTACACGCGTTAAAAGATGTAAAAAACTGCAAATTTCCTACAATTATTGATTGAAAGTGTCAAAGTAGGGCCAAAACTGCGATTCTAGTGATCTTTAATTGTTTGCAGCTTACATCAAGGTCAATCGAATTCGATACAATTTTCAGTACGCGTATAAGTTATGGGGATCTACAAAACGCATTTCTTAAATTGTCATTATAGGTTCGCATAAAGAAGTTGAAAAAACATCATTTTTTAACTTTCTTATCACTCCACTAATTGCAACCAAAAAAAGTTTTTTTATTTATTTTCTAGCAAAGTTGACGAATCGTCTTAAAAAGAATCAAGTCAATTGAGCCAATTTTAAAATAGTTCTCCGTTTGAAAATCTGTCAATATACTGTCTGCAGGGAGTATAGGAGTGGTTGAGAATGCAGCCAGGATAATTCTTAAAGGAAAGGTTCCCAGGCCTGACACAAACGTTTTCACGAGATTTCGTACAGTATTAGGGCTTGTAAAACTGAATCTAATGATATCTGGTTATTGCTATAGACGGCTTATAGTTTTTGAGATATTTAATGTTAAAATTATTAGTAACAAAGATAAAAAGATAAGCCATTGCATGCCACGTCTCATTCAGGAATGCCAAAGAAGTGTTCACGAGTGGTGGAGGAATGGTGTTGAGGGTGCTTTAGGAAAGAGTATGTGCGAATCTTCTCATAGATTATTTTCCTTCACTCCACCACTTATGAGCACTTCTCTGTCGTTTCCGCCTCCCCCCCCCCCCCGCACCGCACGGTGCTGAAGTCCGAAGTCCAGCTTATCATTCTGGCTTTGTTACTAACAATTTTATCATTAAATATCTAAAAGATTATAAACTGTCTGCAACCAAAACTGGGTATCATTAGATTCAGTTTTACGAGTTCTACCATTGTAGGAAGTCTTATTAAAAAGTCAGCCTGAGAACCTCTCCTCGTTAGACAGGAAGATTGGATGGCGTTTAGAATCTGTAAGATGCTTTTGTTTGCTGATCAGTATATTATCCTTAGTCCAATTTCGATCGTATCAAAGCTTAATTAATAAGGTATTTATATCGGCACCCCAAATCTTACACATCAAGGCTATTCAAAATGTTCAATCCATTTAGAGAATTGTTTGAAAGTTTTTGATGTGATGTATCTAGGAGAATCGTTTATCAAATATGACGTATTAAGACGTCCGATAAGTTCGTATCATTTATTTTTGTACTACATGAAATGATATTTTAAGCTTACGAAAAAATGTGATCACTCACTCTTTGCACAATCTCTTCCTATTTTTTGGGCAACGACATGATCCCATTACTATAACATTTCTTTGGATCATCATCAAAATACTTTTGTAAAACATTTTCTGCGGTTACGTTCATAAATTTCTTGCCAACTAAAAAATGTTGTAATAATCGAAAGAGGTAGAAATCTGATGATGCGATATCCGGAGAATAAGGTGGATGCGATAAAATTTCCTAACCAAGGATTTCAGAAAGGGTTCCGATTCGTTATGTGCAACGAACGATATGCACGTTGCCACGCGATCAAGTCTATTACTGTCCATAAATTGCGGCACCCATACGTTCAGCTTTGGCATCATTCCCATTTCCTTCAAATATCTATATATTCTTGTTTTTGGCATATTTAGTACTTCCGGCATTTCTCGCGCTGATGAACTCGTTGTTTCGTTCATTAGATTACGAATTCTGTCTTCGTCCATTTCGACTGCACGACAGGCTCGTGGCTAATCTGCCAGATTAAAATTTCCCTCCCGAAATCGATTAAACCATTTTCTGCAACTGATAAAATACCTTTCTCATACACAAATGTTATTTGTGGCAGTTGCCATATCTCCTTTTTTGAATTCATACAACATGAAGTAACGCAAATGGACACGCACAGTACTCATTCCTTCATCGGATATTAAATACAACATTTTTATAACTCGACGACTAGTGGCATTTGAATGCTTCCTACATACTAAACTGAAGCATAAAAGTTTAATCACGCAAGACCTTGCATCGCTATGTGTTTAACCCCTTGCACTACGCCGAAACTCTGAAAAAGCCGTGCCAAACTTCTCCGCCGGAATGGTCGCTGGAGGAGCCGAGCGGCGGAGCTCGAGTGGCGCAATTTGAAACACAACACCTTAATGATATAATATTAATTAATATTATAAAATAATTATAATATATAAAATATATATATATAATTATAATATATAAAATAATTAAATATCCTAGCCAAACTCGTGATAACCAATTTTGGCACAAAATTATAAACACACTGCGACATGAACTTATTGGACGACCTAATGTTTTCAATTTATGTACAAAAGAAATTGGAACAGAATCCAATATGACATTTATATCGGGAATGTCCTTCTACCTCTCCAAAAATTAATTCTTTCGAATTTTGATGCAAGAGAATGCAATGGATTGAAGATCAATTACCAGTAATTGTCAAGATACATTTTTAAAAATATATATTTTTGTAACATATTTTACGCTGAATTTAAATCTGTAAAAATTAATAAACAAATATTTGTATAGAAAAAACTTTTTTTTAAATTATCATAGCGTGAAATCCATACCCTTATTTCTTGAGCATGAAGAACATATACAGTTACCTCAGAAAGTATATTAACGCTTTTTTCAAATTGGTTCAAAGGACTTGAATATTTTTGAGATGTTAGACCGACTTTTTCGATGTAATGATTATACCAAAAGTTTTTTAGATTGCAACTTTTTTATCTGAGCCCATAACGAAAATTTAAATATGCATTTTGCATATCTTGGTAACTTATACAAATGCTAAAAATTTCATGGCTTTCGCCAAATGGCGCGCCTGGAATCGACATTTTTGCGGCTACGAGTCCTATTTTTAGATCTCCCTATTGCGAATTCTCTAGCTTCTGTAACACGTGGCGGCAGTCACTACCGTCGGGGTTAAACACACATATGGAATGTAACAATTAAACGTAACTCGGTAACTCTTTTACAAAGCTAACTCCATTATCGTTAATGATACGCGGAAATGGTTGAGGAACAAAATGTTTGGTTGGAAGGGACACATGTTGTGGTGGAAATCATTTTTTTGTAAAGGTCATATTTTTGAGATTTCAAGTCATCGATGTTTTTTTAATGGGATTACATATTTCTATCATTATATCATGATAGCTAAGATCAAGACAAATCTAATAACCTATAATACCATGAGCTTCATGTGACCTTGGGTACGAAAAATAAAGAAATTTTTAGACATAGACACGCATAATGAAATAACTACAACAGGGAGATCAACAATGAAAAATTTATTGTGATAAATATTCAAAATTATTTCCATTGACTTCAAGACATTTTCGGGTAGGATAGTTCGAAATCACTAGTACCCTCGTGAATTGACTCGGAGACGTTGGAAACGCGCGGGCGTTGAAATGAACCCTTCCGGGGTTGTAAGGCCCGGATTGCACGGTGGACGCGTATGTTCTTAAGTCGCCGATTGATTGCCCGCCAAATTAATTTTGGGCTATCGGTTTCAAGTTTCGGATTAGTGATTGCGCGTATTGTTGCGTGATTTGAAGACTGAGGGCTTGTGCCTTGTGAATGATTGCTCGCGGGATGACTGCTCGCGTGTACCGGGAGAATTGCAATAGACCGTTTTTCGGGTTTGCTCGACTATTTATATGGGTAGTTCCTCGTCGGAACTTGTCCTGGAGGGGGTAGGAACGCTAGTCGCTGGGTCGTGGAATCTCTGCGACCCTGGTTCATGCCCCGGAAATTCCGTCAGGTCAACTCAGGTAGCGGGCCCCGTCGCGCGCTCGACGTCGGCTGACCCTTCGGAAATTCCGGGTTTATGGGACCTTATGGCTGTCAAGGAAAAGGGCTTATTTACGATGAGCAAAAAAATAAAGAAAAAACGTCTGCCTTGTGATTTTATGCTATGTCCGGATGGCATCCGGACAATCTGGACGCCAAATGGTTGTGAAAGTGTCCTTGACTGCAGCCCAACTATGGTCACGTCCGTGTCGTAAACCCGGTCGCAAAGCCTCCACGTGTTTGTTCCTTCGCGATGGAACATGCTCCCCCCCGTTGATCGGTACGATCGACTAACACGATTAACTATGTAATGTCTATTTTTCCTTGATTCCCGTCGTACTGCGGTGAAGGTCCTGGATCGGGAAGTGGTGCCAGCTTCTTCACGTTTCGTTTGAAGACGCCGTTTGCGGTTCGAACGGTGACTGCTCTGATGATTCCATCAGCTCCTGGATGGACCTGCTGGACTCGTCCCAGGTGCCAGCATAAGGGAGGAGTGTTGTCCTCCTTCAGCACAACGATGGTCCCTTCTCGAATACAGTGTGAACCACTTGTCCATTTGTGGCGAACGTTAAGTTGGTGAATATACTCCTTGTGCCACCTGGTCCAGAAGTCTTGTTTCACCTTCTGGATGTGTTGCCAGGTCGACAGTCTATTGTCCGGGGTTGCCCTGAAATCGGTCTCGGCAATGGCCGTTAAAGAGCTGCCAATCAGGAAGTGACCAGGAGTCAAAGGCGATATATCGTTTGGATCGGGAGAGAGGGGAGTGAGCGGACGCGAGTTTAGAATGGCTTCGACTTCGACTACAAAAGTGTTGAATTGTTCGAAGGTGAATAATTCTTCACCGACGACTCGTTTGATGTGATGTTTGAAGGCCTTTACAGCGGCCTCCCACAGTCCCCCGAAATGCGGAGACAGAGCCGGCGTGAAATGCCACGTGATTCCTTTTGTGGTGAGGAAGTTTTGCAACCTTTCGTCCGTTGGGAGTGTCCTGCAAATTTCCCTTAGCTCGTTGTCGGCCCCGACAAAGTTGGTCCCGTTGTCCGAATGCATGTTTTGGCAGGCCCCCCTGCGTGCGACGAACCGTTTGAGGGCCGCCATGAAGGCATCCGTCGTCAAGTCGCCTGCTACTTCGAGGTGTACTGCCTTTGTCACGAAACAGGTAAATACGGCAACGTATACCTTTATGCGGGTGCGATTTCGGTGCCGTCGCTCCTTTATGTAAAAGGGGCCGCAATAATCGACACCGGAGTTCTGAAATGGTCGACTTTCGGTGACGCGTGCCGCAGGTAAATTTCCCATCAGGTAGTCGACCGTGGGGAGATTAACCCGAAAGCACCTTACGCATTGCCGTACAATTTTTCTGGTTGCATTCCTTCCATCGATGGGCCAATATGTTTGGCGCACGTCATGCAAGGTTGCGGTGATGCCTGAATGAAGACCTTTCGTGTGAGCGTCGCGGATGATTAAATCAGTCACGTGGTGACTCCTTGGCAATAAAATTGGGTGCTTCTGAGCGAATGCTAATGTGGAATTTTGGAGGCGACCCCCCACGCGCAAGATACCCTCGTTGTCGAGGAACGGGTGCAGAGATCGAAGTTTGCTTCTAGGGTGTAATTCTCCGGATTTTAGGTTTTTTATGTCTTGTGTAAATGTGACTGACTGAACGGACCTGATGATGCGGATGTTGGCTTCTTGTAGCTCTTTGATGGTCAAGGGGCCTGTGTTGCGACGGGCAGGCACCAGACGTAGACAATATGCTACAATTCGCCGTAGTTTTTGGATGCAGGAATACCGGGTAAGCATGTCGTTGGATTGGTTGATTGCGGTGGCGAGGCACGTGATCTTTTTTGTTTCTGGTACGTCGTTTGAGGGAATGTGTCTCGAGTTGGGCCATGTGGCCTCTGTTTGAGAGAGCCATTCTGGTCCGCATCGCCAAAGTGCATTGCTGAGAAATTTCCCAGGCGTGATGCCTCGAGAAAGTAGATCGGCCGGATTATCCTTCGATCTGATGTGGCGCCATGACGAGATGTCGGTTTTTCCTTGAATGTCGGCTACGCGATTCGCGACGAAAGTTTTTAATGTGGACGGTGGTTTATTTAACCAGTTGAGAACGATCGTCAAATCGGTCCAGAAAACGGTAGTGTGGATGTCTTGTGTGATGGCGTCGCGAACTGTTTCGTAAAGTGACGTTAGGAGGACGGCGCCGCAGAGTTCCAAACGCGCTAGCGTGACGGTCTTCAGGGGTGCGACGCGGGATTTTGCGCAGATTAGGCTGGTCTGGATTTGGCCGCGTGCATTGATAGTCCGTGCGTATAGACAGGCGCCGTAGGCCCGTTCGCTTGCGTCACAAAACCCGTGTATCTCGAGTCTTTCCGCGTTCGTGAGACTTACGTGTCGACCGAATTCGATTTGATTTAGTTCTTGTAATGACCTCTCGTATTCGGTCCATTCTGTATGGATGTTGGCCGGCAGGGATTCGTCCCAGTCAATCTTCAATTGCCAGAGTTGTTGCATGATAATTTTGGCGTGCATTGTCACGGGTCCGAGTAATCCCAATGGATCGAATATTTTGGCGATGGTTGCTAGGATGTGACGTTTGGTCACCTTGTTGGCTGTGGCTGTCTGTA